AGCAATCCCAGCGCAAGAGCCTTTTTTCACCATCTGCACCCTTCTTAAGTGTCACCTGCTGTTAACTACCTGCGACACCTTTTTTTTTTTTTTTTTTTTTTTTTTCGCACGCGCTAGACTGGGTGCTGTGACCGAAAAGCAAGCGATATTCGAGCAAAATCAGGCAGCGTCGTCAGGAGTTATGCAAGAGGGAAAAAAAAGAAAAAGAAATAAAAAAGCAGGATGAAAATCATCAGCTTTTAGCAATTTTTACTCAAAGGCTTAAAATCAAGTTTATAGCAAAATGATTGCAGCCAGTCTAGCTTCGAAACTTAATAAACCACACATTATCAATTGATATTGATACAGCTGTTACCCAGCAAGATCTATCAGTAACCCCTCCATAGTGTTTTAACAGTAAACTTGTAGCAAAGTTTCCAATTCCCCAGGCCTTTGGTTTGCAGTAGGAGAAGTGGATTGGTGAAGACTGCAGTGTTCTTAGGGAAGGGTAGCTGCCCTAGACTTTACAGTTAACATTCATTAGTTGACTTGTAAATATTGTATCTGTTGTCCAAATTCTGTGGGCACACATCATACGGAGCCTTGCTGCACTGCCTCGGTCCTTGAGGGTCCCAGTGGTTCTCTGAACTTTTGTTCCCGGGAACTTTTACTCCTGATTCTACCAGTCGTGGTCTTGACTGAACCAATAAAGCTCCCTTTCCCAGGGCCAATGTGTCTGTGGTTAAAAGAGAGCTGGTAAGGGCTTCTGCTGCTGGCACTGGAGCTGAGTTGGTCCAGAGAGAAACAACTCCTCTCAGACTGCTTGAAGCAGAGCTCCCCAATTTTTTGTGTGTGTACCTTCTCTCTCTCTCTCCCTCCCACCCCATCCACCCTGCAAATACTGAAGAATTCAGCCTCGCAACCCCCTTTGTGTTTTTTTTTTTTTTTGCTTCCTCTTTTATTAATTTTGATGATTAATATTCTGCGCTGGTCTCAGCCGCCTGCTCGCACAGATACATTTGATGGAGTGGTTATGAATAGGAGATCAGAACGCAGAAAGCACCCTCTCCCGGCATTCGCTTGATGAAAAGGGACCTCCATTTCTGCCCGTTCTCCCTCGCCTGCTGATTGAAGTGGGCTTTTGTTTTTATTTTTCATGCCCCCACCCTCTCTTTTCTGGCTCTTTCTCTCTCTCACTCTTGACTCCAGTCCAGTTTCTGCAGTGGAGGGAAAGGAATTCACTGCCACTATACCGAGTTTTCGCCTTTTGTCAGCTACGGACAGGACTGAATCAGTCAGAATCTCCATAAGAAAAAGCACCCTGTTACTGCTGAAACGGACAGTATCAGTGTGTTAATAGAAAAATGTAAAATGTAATGACCCCTGAGAAAATGAACTGTGGAGTCTTCTAATATTTGCAAGTAAGGAAGGTCCTACCTATGTCACATGTTCATGGTTAGTCAGTCACGTTGTCCAGTGTATTCGTGGTCATTGAGGGACTACAGCCAACAGTGTGGCATAGTGAATAAGGAAGGAGGTTTATAGGCAGAAAGCTGCAGGTTTGTGTACCAGGTGGGGCAATACTCTTGGTCCTTTAAGTAAAGCATTTAACCTGAACTGATTCTGTTAATATTCAGATGTATGTATGATTAGATCGCATGTAAAAACTCAACTTTCCCAGTAACTTGTCCAAATAAATAATGTAAGTGGGAGAAGGTCCAGTATCAGCAATGTAACTGTAAAACATGCCCTCTCACACCCAGCACAGGTCCTGCTGGTTGTGTAGGACATTGTGAATCTGTGGCATACATCTTCCTCTGAGTGTAGCACTGCGTTAACCTGGGTCAGCATCTCTCAGCTCCCTCTCTCCTCTCCTTATCAGAGCTAAAAGCGCATCCCCCCGGGCTCTGGAGAGGGTCTGAGTTGAGGGAAGGAAATGTTAACACAGGGTCCTGCTCTGAGAGGGGCCCACACAGCCCCCTGCGCCCCTGCTATCGATCTGGGGGCCAGTAAAGGTGCCGCACAGGGGGGAGAGACAGTCAGGTCAGGCACTGAGCTGGAAGCCTGCGATGATGGATTTAAAAGCCAGGCAAAGACCGGTGTCATTCTGGGAAAGGATGGTATGCTTTTCGAAGCTGCATGATTTGTCACGCGCTCATTTGTTCAGGCGGCTCAAGGAGTCATGTCGCCGAACCGCCGCAGTTTGGTTAAATGAGTTCCCTGACTGCCGTTCTGACTCTGAACTCCAAAACAAACCTCCAGTATTGAACAGAACAAATCTTGATTAAATTTCAGTGGAGTTACTGAGGCCAGTGATACCAAAGCAGATGATTACTTTTTCCCCCGTTAATCCGGCTTACAGGGAGAGACACATGCCAGTTTCACGGGAGCAGTGTGCAAACAAACAAATGAACAAACGTTCCAACAAACAAACAGATAAAATTCTCACCTGTACCGGTAAACAGGTTGTGATCCTCTCTTCTTCTCAGCCCCACTACAGACCTGTTATATTTACACAGAGACCAGTGTGTCAGTGTCAGTGAGAATATGGTCAGGTTCAAACCCACATTTCCCTAATTAAAGCTCCCTCAGACCAGGTCGCTGGCCTTCAGTGAAAATTGTTTATTTTAATTGGATACGCTATTTGTGTAACTATATAGCTAAATGCACTGCTGTGTCTATATACCTTTCTTTTGGGAAAATATGATAAAATGGCCATAAATGCATGGAATAAAGACATAATTTGACACAAGATATTTGATATACGTCTCATGGTGAGGAAAGAGCACCTCTTGGGGTAAGGGCGTGGTCCCTGTTTTGATGAGGTCCCTATTCATGGTCCCTGTGTCGCATCTGTGTTCTTTCAGAGACACTGTGCATTCCCTCTGTTAGAAATGCAGCAGAAACACCTCTCATGGTTTTCTGCAGTAGACCGCCACTCAACCTAAGTGGCTAACATTGATCTGCAAAGTGAGCTAAGAGATCTCCCCTTGCAGAAGTATAATAGCCAAGCTTACATGACGTGAAATTTGAACACTAATCTGTTCCTAAACCAATCTGATTGTCTCTGTCTTATCCCCACAGGTGTTTTCCCTCTTATTTTCTCCCTAAGATTTCTGCTTACCTGTGTGTTGGCTAGCAACTCCCACAGCATGAAAGTTTGATGACCTAACAGCATAGCAGTCAGCTAGTTTTTTTCTTTTTTTCTTCTTTTTTTCAGAACCTTAGCTGGTCTTTTCAGTGCATTTTGTAATATAGCTTTTGGTTTCATTCAGCTGGGAAGGCAGACATCAGCATGTTTTCACAGCTCACTGTGGTTTTTTATCACATAGAACTTGGTTGAACACGGCTGAATTTGTACCTGATATGCACATTCGTCTTCATTCTGTGAAGGAGAATGTAGTGAGGTATGATTGTCAACTTCACACCTTTGTTACAAACTGGATTCATTCTCAGTCACTGTGACTCACAGAACCTACTGTAAGCATGGGAAGAAACCAGAGCATTTGTGGGCAACATTTTGTCAGTATTACAAAGGGATTTATTTTAATGCCGTGTGGTTCTCCATGATTTAAAACAACACTTAAATTCTTCCTGTTCCCTTTCCTGTTGATACATCTGATATGCCGGCAAATTTTCAGTTTCATGTTCCACAACAATATCTCAGTATATAAACACAAAAGAGAGTAGACCTTGGTTAAATCTCTATGATGATATGACATATATCCCTGTAAGTAGGACATGCATTTCCACATGTTGACATATGTTTTTTTTGTACTCTACTTACAAAACAAAACAAAAAGATTAATCTGAGCTTTCAGCGTTCAACAGAATTAGTAGAGAGTTGTGTTTTTACAGGCTCAACAGAAGTAGTGGAGAGCTGTGTTTTGACCTTTCTCTCCCCCTCTCTCCCTCTCTCTTTTTAGGATATGGGACCCTCCAGTATGCCCTCCGTGCCCCTCATGGTGGGCTGCGGGGTGTCCTGTACAGCTTTGCTCATCCTGCTGCTAATCTACGCTGCCTTCTGGAGGTACGTCACACTAACCCCCCCCCGGCCCCGCCCCCTGCCCCTGTCCCGTCCCGTCACCCGGTGGACCAGTAACCCGCTGTCTCTCCAGCCCAACCCTGATCCCCCTGCTCTCCCCCCCATCTGTCTGTGCCACTCTGCCGCCGCTGCTGCCGGAGTCCTGGCTTGTCCTGATCTGGGCCTTAGTGACCTGACACACCTGTTTTAGCATCTGTTTCGGTGTTGTCGAGTGCTACATCACACTAGCGACAGAGAGCGAGAGAGAGACAGAGGGAGAGACAGAGAGAGAGAGAGAGAGAGGGGGGGGAAGACAGAGCAGGTTCACACACACCCAGCCTGGGCGGACCTTGTGACCGCAGAGCTGAGGAACGGGTAGAGCTATGTTTTGAGGAATTGTACAAGGTCAGAACACTATGCGCAGCTCATGCAGTGCGGTCTCATGTGCGAGAGCAGCTCTGACGCTTGACGGTAAAAGTCCCGGCAGTGTTTCAGTGTCTGTTACGAGACGTCTCCCGGAAAAAAAAAAAATGCTATTCGCAGAATTTAGCACTTTTTTTCCACAGGAGATTTTAAAAAAAAAAGAAAGAGTTGGCATGGGAGACACGTTCGTGGCGCCAATCTTGCAATTAGCTCTAATTGCGAACAAATGAGCGATGGCGGGTCGTCCCTCTGACGAGCGGGATTATTTCCAGTGCGGCAACACCGGCGCTGATCCGACCCCCAGGCCCACCAGCGGGTCACTCCGCTCCGCGGCAGATGGCGGTGTCATGTGACCTGCCCCATTCAGGAAGTGCGCTCTAACTGTCTGTACTGGGATCTGCCCACCAGCGATTTCGCTCCCAACCCATTACGTTATTATTATTCATTCAGCAGGCAGTCTTATCCAGAGCGACTTGCATAGGTTACGGTTATGTCCATTACAGTGTTAATCTATTTATACTGCTGGATATTTATGGAGGCAATTCTGGGTCAAGTACCTTACCCAAGGGTACAGCAGCAGTGGCCCAGTGGGGAATCGAACCAGCAACCTTTCGGTTACGAGCCCTGCTCTTTACCGCTATGCCACACTGCTGCCCAGCGCAGACATCACAATACACATTCACACGCACACGCACACGCAGGCATGCACACACACACGCAGGCATGCGTGCACACACACACACATACACACATTCCTCCTGGCAGGTCTGTTTGCTGGCTGTTGGACCTGGCACCTGATCAAACGCTTATCGCCCCGGAAAGGAGGTAGTTCAGGCCCCAGTGTGCTTAGAGGAAGTTAAAGGAAGGTGATTGATCCATTGACCAGAGTCATTGTTCTGTCCATTGAGGGGGTAGTTGAGGCGGTCACACTCGTAGCTGGCTCAATGCAGGGTGTACTTGGCACTGGCACTCTGCCCATGTGCTGCTGTCAGAGTTAAGGTGCGTATCACTTTCCCCAGACTGGTTATACGATCAACTTGGATTAAGCAGTGCTTGTTACAGAGTTATGTAGGATTTCTCAAAATCAAAACAAAGCATTACATTACATTACATTCATTTAGCAGACACTCTCAGCCAGAGTGACTTCCAGCACAGAAGAACATAAGTGTATCCATTCAAGTTGTATGAGCAACAGTGTCAGACCAGGCTAACAAATCTCCTCGACCAGTGAGTGTGAGCGTAACACTAACACTAACAAAACATCAACACCCATGTGAAACACATGTGATATGATGCCTCTGGTGCAAGAACAGGGGGATGGTTTATAGCATTATTGTAGAAATGTTAAGGGAAGTATACCTCTGCTAACAATAAGTAAATGAAATTATATTAAATGTAAAATGTAAAAAACATTTCAGTTATTTGATAAACGTAACCATAATGCATGTGTTTTTTCCCTTCACACTCACTTCAGGGACCACCCATTACGTTCTGAAGAGTTGGCCACCTCTCTTCTGCAGTTATCCTCTATGTCTTTGAGTGTATATATAGCAGTTCAGCTGCTTCAGTGTTTCAGTTTTTCTTTTTCCGTGACCTCCATCCCTCCTTTCTCAGTTGGTGTGTTTCTGTGGATAGTGTAGGGAGCGAGGGCTGCAGATGGTGGGAGTTATTCTTATCCCTCTCCCCCTCTCCCTCAGGCCCACAACAACTGCAGCGGCCTCTCTCCATCAGCTCCACCCGTTACCTGTCTGTCTGCCGTCGTATTCCTGTCCTGAACTCCGCCCTGTGCTCTCCCTCTCTCTTTCCCTTCCTCTCGCTCACTCCCTCTCTCTCTCTCTCTCTCTCTCTCTCTCACTCTCTCTCTCTCTCTCTCTCTCTTTCTCACTCCCTCCCTCTCTCTCCCTCTCTCTCTCTCTCTCACTCGCTCTTTCTCTCGCTCTCTCTGTCTCTGTCTCTCTCTGCAGGTACATTCGTTCTGAGAGGTCCATCATCCTGGTAAACTTCTGCCTCTCCATCCTGGCCTCCAACGTGCTCATCCTTGTGGGACAGTCACAGACCCTCAGCAAGGTAAGAGTGTGAGGGAACCCCGCCCCCCTCTTCCTGCAGAGGCCTAAAGCCCTGTCCAATCAAACACCTTACTGAGCACTTATCACACACCACTATTGTTCTCTAAGTATCATAGGCCTCTACAACTGTAGCAACTTTCCTTACAAACTCAAAGCTCCCGGAGTCAATTTTTTGTTCGTTTTTTTAAATTTGATATCGGACAAAGGGGGAACTGAAAGTTTGCCCCACCGGCAAATCTCAAAGAAATAAACTTGTTATGCTTGAATTAAATTAGCCACTGACAATGCAAACTAATGCACCACTGGGGCGAGTTTGACATTCTGAGGTGGCCTGGCTCTATGGGTGTGGGTGGCCTGGCTGAGACCGGGATTAGTATGTCAGTATGTCATGACCGGGATCAGATTGGCTGTGTTATGAGCCCATTCTGAAAATTCTCCCACTGTGGGCCCGGAAGCTCTGGCGTTTGCTCTCCATCGCCTCCTGCTGGTGGATCCAGAGATGGGTTCGATCTTGAGGCTCAATGTCAGAGCCCTGTGTGATGCACTTTCTTGGCACAGTCACTCTGGGTGTTGGAAGCACACACACAAGAGACTGGAATGGGAAGCATATTAAATCTTGTACTCTCTCTCTCTCTCTCTCTCATGGGGTGCATGTCAGACCCATTACTGGTGATTCTGTCCTCTGTCTGGGATGGAGCGCTTTTTGTTAAAAGGCCTTTTGGGTGCTCGCTGAACCCCACTTGATCTCCTGAGCCGCAGAGTGCTGATGGTGCGGGAAGCCGCCGCTGCCTCTGCTGAGCTGGCGTTGCTGATGCTGCATCGCCACGGCAACGGTGCTTGGACAGGGACCAGTCTCTGGCATTAATAATTAACAGACCGAACCATCTCTGCAAGTCTCACTGGTGACACATTTTGCACCTGTCTTCCTCACACACACAGACACAGACACAGACACACACACACACACACACACACACACACACACACACACACACACACACACACACACACACAACCCACTGTTAATGACACATAGGTCACATATTCACTCTTTAAGCACCATGAGCACCCTGTTACCTGCACTATGCAGGGTTCTGTATGTCTCGTTTTTGTACCACTGTGCCATTGTCAAAATCCACTTCACACATCTTAAAAAGCCGAGCCACCCGAAACAGCTCATCACAGACGTGCTGTGTGTTTGCTCTCTGTTTCAGTACTTTACTCTCTGATGACCAGCCCATTCTCTCACTCCACCTCTCACACACTGTCAAACTGTTTAGCTCACGCGCATGGGCTCTTTGCACCCACTCTGAAGTCTTTTATCTTACTTTTGTCTGGATTTCTGGGCCCTTCTTTCTCACATGAATTGTCTTTCCCTCCCTTTGTTTATCTGTCTCTCTCCCCTGACTGGCCTCCGTCTGTCCACCTCTCACCCTGTCTTGCCCTATCTCGCCCCCCTATCCTGTCTTTGCCCCCCCATCCTCTCTTGCCCTTTGTTACCCTATCACCCCCTTTCTTGCCCTTTCGTGTCCTCTCTCCCCCTCTCTTGGCATCTTTCCTCCTCTCTTCCCATCTCTTCCTCTCTCTTACCTTCTCTTGTCCTCCCTTGCCTTCTCTTCCCCTCTCTCCAAATCTCTCCTCCTTCTCGCCCTCTCTCCCCTCCTGCCCCCTCCCTCGCCCTCTCTCCCCCTCCTCTCGCCCCCTCTCTGCATTTTGGTCCTCAGGTTCTCTGCACTATGACGGCGGCCTTCCTGCACTTCTTCTTCCTTGCCTCTTTCTGCTGGGTGCTGACGGAGGCGTGGCAGTCTTACCTGGCCGTGATTGGCAAGATGAGAACGCGCCTCATCCGCAAACGTTTCCTGTGCCTCGGCTGGGGTATGGCGCCTTTCCTGCGTGCTGTACACACACACACACACACACACACACACACACACACTGTATGCACACCTGCTCACATGCCTGCACATACACCTGCACACCAGAAATCGCTTTCACTGCAGTTTTCATATTAACCTCCCCTACCCATACAGCAAATAGACCTGCTCCGCATATAGAAAAAAATCTTTATAGAAGATGACTCACCTCTAAAGAAACTGTGAGAGTCATCCTCTAAAGTTTTTGTTTGTTTTTTTTTTTCCTTGACAGTGTGACTCCCCTCGTATCTGAGGAAAAAAATGGGAGAATGACACTCCAGATACAAAGTTTGAGAGATGTCATTCTGACAGTTTGAGAAGCATTCTTCTTCTTCTGAGACGAGCCTTCTCATAAAGAGAGAATAAGAATGATTTCTCAAGTGTCTGATTTAACGCCGGCTGACAGTGCCCTCAGTTCACTGTGGCACAATAATGCGCAACGCATCGCAAAACATATCACAGCATGGCACCGTGCCCGGGCTGGCACGGTCGCTGCTGTGTGACAACTGTGTATGGGGTGATTGGGAACGAAAACGCGGATAATACCATCTCTCTGAAAAGAGAAAAGAGATACTCGGGAGAGATTCTGGAACAATCACTGCAGCGCCTGTCTTCATTTGATGTCTTATTGATCCGGCGATCAGACCCGTTCGGTTCGAGGTGCCCCCCAGAAGATGCATCCCGAGGATAGATGTGTTGCTTTATTGCTGAGGTTTAATGAAATTAGTGTGCGTCTGCATAAAAGCCCTAACACTAATGGAATGGTTCAGCCTCCGTATGGAGATGCTTTAAAATAGATGCAGTGGTAGCCTTATTAAAAATGCACAGAATCGATGTCATGGTGGTTGTGAATTCTGACCTTAATTGAAAACCTTTAAAACAGACACACACACACGAGCACACACACACACACACACACACACACACACACACACACACACACACTCTCTCTCTCTCAGAATACGCCCTGAAGGTGCTGTTTAAGAATCAGCGGGAAAAAACGTATCTGCTTTTCCTGTACTCTAAGCTTTTTGTCATTTTTCACAAAGTTTCTCTCCCTCCGCCCTCCCTCCTCTTTCATTAATGCGAGTTTTTTTCTTAATTGCATTTAATTTGTGGAGTTAATCAGTGCATTGTTAATTACATGAATATTTCAGAGCCAAGCTCATTAAGTGCCCACGTTGCATACAGGCTGAGCGAGAGTGTAATTGATGTGCCTAATTAATACATAACTAAGTGACCCCCCCTGTGATGGAGAGCCCATTAGAGGGGCCAGCAGCAGAGGGACATGGGTTCATATCCCAAAAGGGGGCCTGGGAATTAAACGCCAGACATGACACTTCATTCTGGGAAAGCGTGTGGTTTGTGGTTAGACAGACTTCACACAACGGCAGCAGAATGACGATGAACCTCATCCACAAGGGAGCCGTGCAGACGGCGTTTCAACTCATGCAGGAAAGGCATTTTACTCTCATATATAACCAGACATATTAATAGCCAACTGGATGTTTTAGAATTCTGATAATCTATAATGCATATGTGACATAGGTAATCTGAGACTAAATCAAAGATAAAAGCTTTATGCAGTGATGAGTCTTTTCTCCTAGAATAGCCACCTGGGCGGCAGTGTAGCATAATGGTAAGGAGCAGGGCATAATGGTAAGGAAAGCAAA